TAGAAGAATGTGAACACGAGATGTTTGATTTTTCAGGTAAGAAGAACTAGACGTTTGTGAAGAATAGCAATTCATTGAGTGTAGGCTTAAATGTGAAATTTAAGGTTTTTGTGAAATATAGAGGTGTGCTTGTGACGAAGTTCGTAATGTAACCAGCTTCTCTTTGTGTGCAGAAGTCAACATTAATTTCCTTGATTTATTTTTGCAACCAACTTAGCCTTCGGAATAAAGTGAGATGTCAAACAGTTCGGAGCTGAGCGCAGATTTATAATGAACTCTTGTATTTACCAATTCATTGATAAACCTCGCCTTTCTCACATGCTTATGTTAAAGCCAGTGATTGGTTTTATGTCTCCTACCCTGTGACCTTTATGGTTCATGGGCCGTCCTTCGCATGTACAGAACTCAGATTATGCTTATCAGCATTGTTGAGCTCATCTGTTTTACTACTGATAAGCGCATTTCCTTCACCGAAGATTGCGCGTTTAGTCAACTTAGCGTCAAAGGAAGACAGCAATTTTTTTCTTCATTTCTTGCAAAAAGTACAGTGCGACACGGACGGTGTGCCACAACGTTGCCGAGGATCGACCTCTTGCACTGATGCGTGTGGCTTTTTCTTTCTTTTCTTTGCAATTTTCTCGCTGAGCTGTTATTCCGATAATTTTGTTCATTCTGGCTGTAATGAATTTCATACGGTACACTGATTGCCTTCTCATTCCAACGAACTCATGAGCGCGTGTACACATTTATGTAGCTCTTAGTGCGTGCGTGTGCGTGTATTTAGTACGAGTAAAAGTTCTTGCCTTTGTGTTGTTATTGTGTCATAGAAGAGTAAACTGGTTTCTCTAACAATTTTGTCGTCTTGCATTTTTTTACACAACTGACAACACAACTGAAAAAATGGGATAACTAAGCCACAAGTAACTCCCACGAAACCACTCCCTTCTATTTCAACATTATACTTCCATGTGATTTCTGTGCGGTTGGTCTCTACGTGACATACTTAGTGGAAACCTCATAGAAAGCGGCTCTGAGGAAGGCGAAATCCGCTGAAACGTCAGTTTATTCGTGAATAAAGAACAATAACACCTCGCGTTTGCTCAACAAAAATACGAAGAATTAAGTCACGAGTGCTTTGTAACAATATCACAGTGCCTGTAGCGCAGTGGTCGGAGGCGCCTTAAAATACACATGGGATGCATCCCCGCGCACCAGGTCCACCAAGTCCTCAGTACCTTCGGGTTTGCAAATTGGTACCAGACTTGCCTGTAGGTATAGCAGCACTGGTTCGATATATCGGTAGGCCATCATTATAAAGGCCAGATATGCTACTCAATCACCTCCAAACGATGCTTAATGAAGTCGAACGCATGGCGCTTCCCTCAGGGATTGGTCAACGATGAGAGCTTTATTATCTATCTGCTATCACAATGTTGGGTTGAAGAGGATAGGGTCACGTTTTGACTTTGTTAGGTGTGTGTTGCTAGTGCATTTGCGTATGTAGAAAACTGCTTTTTAAAGATCGTTGGTTTTGTGAGGATAATGTAGGATGCGTGGTTAAAATCGTAGGCATCCAACGTGTGAGTGTTCCAAAAGTAGTGTTGAGACAACATAAATATATATATATACATATATATATATATATATATATATATATATATATGCGCGAGATCCATGCCTTTGTTCATGATTTTGATTCTCGTCTTATTCACTCTGGCAGTCAACCCTACGAATTTGGTTTAACTACCCACGTTTGAGTTTTAAAAGTATCAAAAAGTTCCCTCGGATTCACATCATGGTGGACCTGGAAATGCCCTTGCAAGGTTAAGTGAGGACTCCAGAAATGATCAAACTGCCCAACTAGCATTGGGGCAGCCCCAGTACCACGCACACTGCGTGTTTCTGTCTATGACGTGAAGGCGACCCGTGAGAGGCTACGAACCTGGGGTTACACAGGACGTCACTGGAACCGGACCTAACGAACGCACGCATAACACGTCATAGAGATTGCATCTCATTTTGCGCGTATAATCATAGAACACTCTCCACAGATGCCGCTATTCACGTCATTCTTGAAGTCGCGAATCGCATAAAAACTCATGTGATCGCACTGCAACGAGCAAAAATCAGGAAGACCGACATATCCCGCCAAGAAATGCCAGCGTCGTAAACTTTGTCGCCACCCGCCCATTGTCTATCTCGTCAACTTGTACGAGATTCTCTTCCCTCGCATAGCCATCATCCGTCTTCAACTAACGCATCATGAGGAGATCATAATAATCAATTGCTATTCACTGACCGTTGCAGCTCATGAGGACGAATTAGATGGGTTTTACTATCAGTTGGAGTAACCTATCCGCAATGATAAAGCGTATTCTAAATTGGTTTTTGGAGACTTCAAAGCCAGTATAGGAAAAGCCAACGAGGGCGAATACAAGATCGGAAATTTTGGATTAGGAGAAAGAAACGAGAAAGGAAGCTGTCTTGCTAAACTCCTATCTGCGGACCTTTCGCAAACCATTCGAGAGCCTGTCTTCAGAAGTAAAAAATCCCAATAAAGGACGTCGCGCACGGACATCCTGCCCAAGAAGGATGACAGAGGAAACGTTAGCAACAATCGTCCGACGTGCTTGTTTAGTACTCCATAAGCTCTTCACGAGCATTATCCTCTCGAGCAAATCAAGGACGTTGGATGATGCCCAATTAATGTCGCATAAAAAATTGCGACAAAGATTTTGCTGCATGAACCACATCCAAACAGCTTCCAAGCTATTGAAGTTTAGCAGGAATACCACATGCCCCTAGTCCTAACCTTTTTCGACTATTAAAAAGTATTTGACAATGTCTAAACGAAGGTAATCCTATCAGCGCTGGTCGACCAAGGAGTGGACGCCTCGTACATTAGAGCTTCGTCTGCCTGCCATCAGAACAGCACTATGACAATACAACTTTCCCATTGACCTCTTACCATACTCATATGAAAGGGGGTTCAATACGACCGCTTCATCGTGGCTGGGAGGCGTTGCTGTGTGTCGGGCTGCGATGTACAGCGTGGGGACTCATCCCTTTGGCGAAGCGTATCAAGCTGATAACGATTTCGCCGGTGTTTCCATCAGCAAGCCCAGCTAAGAGTAAAGCAGTACCAAGGTTCACCACTGTCCTTGTATGAAACTAGTCACATGGCGGCAAATCTCTCTCCAATCTACAAGGGGCGACTACCTGTGGTGGTGACGACCTGGGACAGACTTTGGCTCTGCTGACCTCCGGGTTCCTCCAGGAAACCACAATAGCTGGACCCTACCTGCTGTAATCAGGTGGGTCAGCAATTAAAGTATGACCCTTTAACAAATATTTTGCTGCACTTTTATCGTATTTTGGGACTGCTTGTAGATTTCGACGGTCTGTGCTTTCATTCCTGTGTATTTTAGAACGAAAGTGCTTGTATGTATCTCTGTGAGTCTCTCTTTCTCTTCAGATCGGTAACATTGTATATATATTCTCGTTCATCAGCTGGCCGTACATAGCACAGAATTTGCTCAATGCCTTAATGCGGGCGACCGGAGCAAATCGCAGCAGACCAGAAGCGCTCTGCACGTCTACAAAAAAATTCGAACTCCTCAGATTGAAGTGTGGTCGAGTTTCTATTCTTTTAAACTTTTTTAAAATTGTCTTTTGTGAAACGCCTTTCAAAAACGAGTTATATTTTACTATTCATACGCATCATAAGGAAAACATAGTCACTCAGCTACTCTTTTGCTGCTTGGATTCTGGAAATGTAAGGGAAGCGCTCATTTATTACTACGTGAATCGAGTAATAAACAGCATAAAGCGACAACTTCTATGAAAGTGAATTCACCTCAGGTGCCTAAATAAAAGTACTCTACAAATACAAATCTCCCATTTTTTGTCCTCTTTCAAAAATCACTCATCCTTAACTGCTGTTTTTTGCTAATGTCGATTAATGTTCTTCTTCCACTAATCCTGTATAAGTTTGAGGTGCATTGCTTTCGCTTCTGTTACTCAGGTATCGTTTTTGTTACTCAGGTAGTTCCCCAAGATCGAACTCTAGAGAGAGCTGTGTTCCGACGCACGAAATTTACTCGTATCTCACCAAACAGGCAAAGCAGAGTATTTACTGGAACACTGAGTGTGGCAATCTCAGGTAATCCATGCAACTGCTTGCCATCATTTTTCTATTGTTTCACTCATAAAGTATAAAGCTATCGACGTTAATCAGTTTTTAAGGTAGTGTTCCTGTTTCTGTTTCTGCTTCCTTAAATTACATTTCCTCTACAATTACGGCTTCTAAATGCTTTACTACGAACGACTAATACCGAAAGAAATGGGCAATATACCCTAGTTGGGCCACAGTGCACAATATTTACTAATGATTCTTACTAAGTACTTCAACAAACTAAGCAACAAGAAACCCATAAGCAGAAACAATAGAAAGAGAGTATATGGAGAAGTGGATTCTAAGAACTTCTATCTCCAGGAATATAAACAAAGGATAGACATTATGGGAGCAATTTCTCGTTAACATTAGCGAACTTCTGAGATCAGGAAAACAACTGCTTTATCGCGAGCGCACAATAATCGCTTAAACAATGTGAAGAACAAATATGGAGCTCTTATTACCCAACGGAAAATAGTGAGCAAAGTCTCAAATTTACCAGATTGTTAAGGAGCATAGAGCAACTTCAAATCAATATCTACTCTTGGAGAAATCTGATGGTGTGGTTTTCAAAGCAACTTCGGATGTTGGAAGAGTTGATGAATGTTTCACCTGAAAAAGCGATTAACTGTACCCTTTAATGAAAACTGGAATAAATGTTTTAATTAATGCAGCCGCTCACCTTCCCTTTCAACACTCATTCAGGTAGACTGGGAAAGCATATTCGGGCCACCTTTACCCATTCTTTCTTCATATTTTCGTCACTAAATTGGGACAAAATCAATAGATCGGAATGGATTTGAGTTCGGAAAAGAAGGCCACTCACTTGTGCTTTACTATACGAGGAAGTTTGTTCGGATGTTGAGTAACTGCATGACTTATAACATGAAGTTGGTTGTCGTTAGCAAAACCACAAAGCGAGCATTCGAACTGCTTCACAAGGTAGTGCTCCTTCGCGTGCTCAACAACATTTTTCAGCTGGGTCAACACTACAGGTTTATTGCACAGCTGAAATTTATCGAAGGTGCCATTTAGTATAAAAAATCAGTACTACCCCTTTGAAGCCTGAGTTATAGAACTAGCAATGTAAAATAAGGGCAAACTTCGACATTTTGCCTCGAGAATGAGCTACTACAGACAAGGTAATAGAGGTTACATCAGGAAAATTTGGAAAACCTTGATTTTGCCAATGCTAGCTTTTTTATGACAAACAGCGAAAAGACCCACTATATAAGAAATATATAACCTATTTAAATGACTATGACCGATGCCAAAGGTCAAAGGACAAAGCTCTTCGCCTTGATCAAACCCTGAAGACTGCGCTATGCATTCGACTTAATTAACAATCGTTTGGAGGTGATTGAATGCATATTTGGCCTTTGGCCAATAACTCACGGTGGTCTGCCGATGTATGCTATCCTCCCAGACAAGTCTGGTACCAAGTTGCCGACCCCGGAGGATGGAGAGCTTCGTGGGCCTGGGGCGCGGGGATCGATGTCACGTGTGTTGCAGGGGGTCTCCGACCACTGCGCCACACTTCTTCTTATGACTGGATTAAGAAAATGAATAGAAGTCCTTAACGCTTAGGCGACAGCGCTTAATTTTGTACAACTGCCGCGTGCGACGACGACTAATTTCATCATGACACGGAATTGCAGCCTTTAAGACAATAGATAATGCTTCTTCGATAACCAGAAGGCTTGCGAGGCTGGGAACACGATAGACTTATTAATCAGAATTTGCTTTATAAATTTATTGGTGTGTACAGTATGTATGCTAAAACTACATGTTAGCACGGTTCACCATCAAATCACACTGGTATTAGCATTTAGAGTGGTTTGAAACTTACGTTGAATTCGACTCTATATCTTTCACACCTGTCTGCTCCATACGATAAATATGAGTCACAGACCGTAAATAAAATAAATAAAATTAAAGAAAGTTACCTGTCAAATCACCAGTCAGTGAACTCATTATAATAAATGTGTATTGTAATTCAAAAGCTGAAGAGAATAACTGAAGAATAAGAGAACATGGTCTGCGTTTGATAAAATTTGTTCTGGGCAAGGGATCGCGTCAGTATAAAAAGCGAAGAAAAAACGAAAAAAAAATTTTTCTTTGAAATAGACTACTAGAAAGAAAATGACCTCTCACTTTTAGTTGAATTGTTTTGTTAACATTTTGCAGCCATTCGATTGCTTGCCTACCGCGGAGCCCAAGGTTGGTAGCAAAGAAAAAGCAAAAGAACGACTTTTCTGACAAAATCATTAGTCTGACGGAGATCCGTGAAAATATTGTTCCAGGTGAGGAAGGTACTAGAATCCGTCCGTTGCTTTAACTCACTGATATCGAACGCTTATGGACGTCTTCTCGCAAGCGTAAGATGATACATCGGATTCCAAAAACCTAGAGGTTTACAAAGTGGGAATTCATCAGTGCGCTTCCGAAGAATTACCTTTGGAAACATTTATTTCCAACTTTATACGATCCGTCATCACATGCACTGCCCAGAGCCCAGAACTTCTTGCATTCGATTCGCTTCTTTTGCATTCACGCTTTACAGTGGTCTTCGATCATGATCATTTCACGTGTCGTTTCGGCTCCTTCTTGAGGAATTTTCTTCTTTGTGAATGTCGAAGAATGCTGGTCGGATCGTTCCTTTTCGAAATCTTTGAGATAGCAGAATTAAGGAGTTCCAACGTGGCTTGAAGGAAAGCGCTGGTAAGTGGGGTCAAAATGGTGCCCCTGTTTCATGATGAACGGCATTCCTAACCATTGCGTTACCACTACCCACTTTGGAAACATAATATATTCAAAGCTTCCATTCGCTCAACCAATCGCTGACGTTTTTAACCTGGTGCTGGGTACAATTTGTTTTTTTTTTATCATTCCACAACATATTTTGCAGCTTTTAGTTTGAATTTTACAGGTCTGAAAAAGAATTTCACAATCGAAAAAACTTAGAACCTTTATAGTTTACATTACTTGGACACAAACTGTAGCCATTACTACCTGCGGCCTCTAAAGTTCACCTCTTATGGGTGATATTGAAACAATACAAGCAAGCCATATTTCTCGGGGTGGCTAAACCCAGGGCTGAATTAGATGTTTTGAAGCAAATCTGGAATCATGTCGCTTATTGCTTTTCTATGGCAGCCAAGACAATTAAAACAACCTTATGACAATCTCAACCTTTTTTATTTACTGCCTATTCTTTTTAACGGCAGGGTATTTGCGAAATATAACTACTATAATGCCGATTTGGGCTCTCCAGATCAATCCCGTTGACGGGTGATTGCTGTGGCAGAGATCGATAGAAATAGCTGAGAGACAGGCGAAACGAAGGACCCACATGGTGTGGTGGTGAACGCGTTACTCCCCGGAAAGGACAATGGCGCGTTCGTTCCCCACCGCAGACAACTGCAGTCCGCAGTTTTGCAAATATCTCAGCATTATACTAGTTATAACTTTATGACACTTTTGTCGCCTTATTCGGGGACACGTATACTTGTAATGGAGTTGGAGTCCCTAAAAATCGAAGAAAATCCACACACAGTAGAATCATAAACCCATTCATTCTCATTTGCTCATAGCTAATAGATCCGCCACTTGTTGGTCATGCATCTTTGAGTCACCGAGTGAGGAGGTGTATACAACCAAATTATGAAGAAGGAAAAAATGTGTTTAAACTGTAGAACTAGAAAATCCTGTATATAAGAGCATCTCGGGCAGAGTATGCCTCATTCGAGAGATGTTCCAATAAAGAAGATCTGGTTCGATGCGCGAAGAAGACACCACATCGAGAAGACGAACGACTGTGGACATCGACTCGGATCATCGGCTCCCAGAAAGATGGCGCCGAAACCTTAGCCGAATAGATGTTGGTAACAACCTCGTGTTAGCTCATCAATGAAAGAAGGTACATTGACCACCTACACCGAGGTTAAATGAAAGTCGTTTTACAATGATACGTTTATACTGCTAGCTAGATTTTCTGACACTGGAAAGAGAGAATGCATGCCACTTGTTCGCTTGTGTTCATAGGCAGTTTTGAGTGGTTCCAGCTTACGACAGTTCAGCCTTAATGTACAGATCACCAGTGCAGCGTAATAGTGCCGTTCAATTATTCCACTCTAATTCAGCTCAGTTTTTGTCTGACCTCTGCCATTCCTCCTACACCTGCTGACCATACTCCTCTGCCTCTCCTTTACTCTTGTCCAATCTTTCATCGAACGTAGTAGTTGTATACAAATTATTGGTATAGTGTTATTGGTATATTGAGTTGTATAAATTGTATATAGAGTATAGAGTTATTGGTATATAGAGTTGTCCTTTCTTCGAACAAATCCTAAAGTAGCCTCAATAGAATCAACCCATTTATAATTCCAGCTCTTGAAAAGTTTTCATCTCCATAAACTAAATTTCTTCAACGCCATTAATAGCCGTGGCTGTCCAACATTTCTCATCTTGAGGATCTGCCCAATTAATGCTTATCTCTTTAATACTATTCTGTTCCTTCGACCAATGCCTCTCTTGTCCGTATCCATTAGTCTCCTTTACAATTAGATCCCAAATCCCACTTCTGAATATTTGTCTAGAAAATAGATGTCCCGAGAACTAAGTAAGGAGCTGTTGATCCGTCGAAAGGTTACTGTTGTCGAAGAGACAGCGACTGCGCGACACAACATTTTTCGACCACTCATCCCTTCATCTCCGGTCGACACGATTTAAACGTTTAAAAATCAGTCTCTGACCAAAAAATCTTTGTCATTTTTTTTCAATCGGATTCATACCTATCGTTGCAGCGGATAGTTATAAAAATATACGAAATACAAAAATATACTTAAAATATATCGAGCGAAGTCGACTACTGAGGGCAGACAGCACTGCGTTCGGATGGACGGTCTTTCCAGCTCACACATGAGTTTGATACTTTCCGAAAACGTGGACTTATAGGATGTATACATTGCGAAAATGCACAGAAATGAGCGGAGAACACAGAGAAAAGGCGAACAATACAGTGCAAAACACAAACAAGTGCGTGGCCACTTTTTGGGGTGGACCATACAAATCACGTATGAGTTGTGATGTACACAAAAAAAGGTGCTGTCCCAAATGACCGCACGCTACAGTGCTACAAAACTGGGCGTCATCGCAAATATAGTGAACTAAGAAAACACTATCACGTTAATTCTTTCTACTTTTGTTCAGCAAACACAAGGTGCTATTTTATTTCTTTATTTACGTACAAGCCGACGTTTTAGCGGATTTCGCCTTGCTCAGAGCCTGGGAAGGTCAAGTTGACTGCAATCTACACGGTCAGACATCTCCATAACCATATCTACATAAAAGTTTTCTCTGTTTGGTTATGGAGATGTTTCGCCGCGTAGATTGCAGTCAACTTGATCTTTCCAGACTCTGATGAAGGCGAAATCCGTCGAAACGTCAGCTTGTACGTAAACAAGGAAATAAAATAACACCTCGTGTTTGCTGAATAGAAGTAGAAAGAATTGTTCAATCAATGCCGAGGTTAATAGAAAGTCGGACGTGGGAGTTACTATCACGTTAGTTTAATGATCCTTTCCTACCGCTTCCTCATGGAGCAAAAATTCATAAAAGCTGCTCACACCAGAGGAAAAAAATCTCCGTAGATATTAAAGAATCGCGAACGGATCTTTATGGAGACACCAGCTGGTATAGTCTTTTTGGAAAAAGCTAAACAACTTACACGACATAGCACTAAATCTGGATCACTTTTCTCTTCTTCATCTGCTGTGACCTCTGAAACTCGTTCGGATGACGTATCTTTATCAGAATTGCAGGCTGATTTCAATGATGACTGTGCCTGATTCACTGTTACCCAACTTTCGGACTTAACATCAGCCGAAGTACCTTGTTCTGGAACAAATTAATAAGCCTGATGATGTAACATACATCACATATCATCTAAATAACCTGAAGATAACGACGATGATTCTTCATGAGAATACGGTGTACGGCGTTCAGTTACGATGCTAGAAGTAGGATCTGTTTCTGTATGACATTTGGATGTGTGAGAACGAACCTGAATGTCTAGGTAAAGAATCTGGTCATTCGTATATAATGCTGAGATATTTGCAAAACTCCGGACCGTAGATGTATGCGGTCCGGAGTTTCGCAAATATCTCAGCATTATAGAAGTTAATTTTCGAGACATACCCTGCCATTAAAAAGAATAGGCAGTAAATAAGACGGCTAAAAATCCAGTCATATTTCTTGCAAATTAAAACATAAGGGAAGAAAATGACAGTGATCTTTTCCAGAGCTATACACTAAGTGTCTTCACCAAGAAATTTAGGAGTTCGCATCATATGCTTTTTGAAGGATGAGAATACTTGTGGCTCTTACTTGAGGCAAATGAAAAAAGACGACCAAAACAAATACTATTGAATTTAACCGATTTCGAGGAAATGCTGCCATAACTACAATGATGCTAAGATGTTTGCAGAACTACGACCCTCAGGTACCTGCGGTGGGGAAAGAACGCGCTATTACCCTTTCCGGGTGCTAACGCGCTCACCACCACACCATGCCTTCGTTTCCCCTTCGCAGCTAGTTTTATCGATCATTACCTTCAGCAAACACCTGCCAACGTAATTGATCTGGAGAGCTCAAATCGGCAATGAACTCTGTTAAGCTTTGTCATTTTCTATGACTACCTTGTATTGCCATCAACATGGTCTGCTTTCACTGCGATAGTGCACCCTTTCTCTGTTGATTATTCATTAGCTAGAGCATAGTGTGCCCCAATATATCATTAAAAAAAAAATAATGCCAGAAATCCAAGTTAACGATGATGCAAATATCAATCATGCACGTGCTTAGTGATGAGGGTACCTAGATAATGTACTTCTTAATAATGTTCTTTACCATTGTGATATCGATTGGGTTAGCTGTTGAAATACGAGATATTGCCATCGTACAGCAGTGGTCTTGATCTGTGAACCCTCGCCTTGTTTGTCAGAACAAAGAACAAGTGATTTTGTTGTCTGCTCTAAGGTTTCCTATGCACTCAACAAGTATACTCGTGAAATAGCACGACTTACGGATAGGTGCTGACAACCAAGTGATAAGCCACATGAAAGAAAACAACAAAACGTTATCAAATAGCGGGTATTTAAGGAGGGGCAAGTTCGATTCACTTCATTGTTCCGCTTCTTTCGGAAATTGCCCTCAACCTCCTCCGGCGTACGAAGGTGAGTTTGTCATCTGCTAAAGTGTGATTTAAGATCAGCTCTTTCCAGCAAACTCGTAAACTTCTATGAAACAAGGACGATGTCTTCTAGCAGTATAAAAGAATAATCATCTTCAATTTACATGCCTTGCAAACTTACAGATGATCAGCACGCGTCTCCTGGTCGTCTACGTTTTGATGGCTTTGCTGGCCGTTTCTTCAGTCGCGCTGAAGTACATCCCTTCAAGCTTTGACGAGTAGAGAGGTTCGTTTTCAGAATTTTATATTTTTTAATAAAGAAATATTTGGAAGAACATTTTGTGGAATTGGCTTTATTTACATATATTCGCTTGTTTGAATGAAAGAATTACAGCGTACCTCTATTTGCAAGCGACAGAATTAAAGCACTCGTCTAACAGGCGGATCGTAGAAGCCTCTGCCACCATCATTTTTACGAGCACTATATTTTAATAAAATATTCAAAATAAAGCAGTGTCACATTTAAAATCTTAGAGGAACGTAGCAGGTTGGGAAGTTCTTTGTTTTTGTTTGGTTTCCTGCTCAACGGACCAACAAATTTGCGAACACGCGCATTTCAGTTGATGCGTAGTCGAAAGTAATACAAGTTTAACTTTAAAGAAATACGTAATGGCTTAACTTGCAGCTTAATGTTATAACTGAACTAAGAACAGCGTACTAGTATGTGATGGGACTTCATCTGGGCGAAGGACATGACGGTGTTCACGAGTGACGTTATCGAGCTCCCCGCAAAAAATTATTTTTTCGTATCTGCAGAGTCTAGTTCTAAGCGGTTAGGATTTCCAACTAAAGTGAGAATTGACTTTTAGCACGGCACAGATGGTTCTCTTCGGTAAAGTTGTCAACTCGACTGCTACAGTTGTTGAGAAGTTGCCGATAGACCATTGTTGAACAAGCACCACCGCGTATATGAGAAATTTTCACACGAACTCTCCTTAGCACATTGTAGGCTGTGAGCATCACATGGAATTATAGCCAGCGCACCGAGCGGCAGAGATGACTTCTGTGGGAATCCTCTTTCTGCTGGCTTATTCTCCCACTCCGAATCCCTTTCCTTTACTCCTGGTGGTCAACCGAAAACAAACGAATACATGTTGTGACGGACGGAGAGAAACATATTCCAGAACAGGTGGAACAATATTCTTTGGCATTGGTATAACTTTACAATATATCACTTTACAACATGAAAGGATAAACGATGAAGCGTTCGACGTTGATCAAATAATTTCTGAAAAATTATCTGCATCGGTTGCTAAAATATTTGTGCTGAATTATTGATTATTTACACCAAGGCTCAATGATGATTCACAAATTGCTAACTGATTTTAAAACCGATTTTTTAAATTATAATACCGTCATCACGAGCATGGTGCTAGTTCAGTTCCACTCCGGGCCAACCAAGCCTCTCATCCCTCCGTGGTCAGGAAATTGGTACTGGACTTGTCTGGGAAAAAATCACTCTCTGCAGTGCAATTGGGAACGCTCCAGTCCGGCTATCTCAGAGCTCCAGCGAAAATCGCTCAACCTGCATTCTACGACATTCAAGATGAAATGAAAATCCTCTAGTAGCAACGACAACGGATGGTAGGAAACCAATTGAATGTGAGAAGACAAATTACTGATGCATGAATTGCCACCACCAAGAAAAGACATTAGAATAGATGGCAAAAGATCAGTAACAGTACTGTGCAAAAACCCTGGCCGAGTGAGAATAGTTCATTCAAGCGATACTCCGCTCCAGAAGGTTTGACTCGGTGCAACGACGAAGAACAGCAGTGCGAGGACGAACGACTGTCGACGATCAACTCGAATTATTCCGGCTCTGAAAAAGCGAATACGGCAGAACATCAGCCAAATAAAAGTTACGTAAAAACCTCGTGTGAACTGAACAGTCAGAAGAAATACCATCTTCAGCTTTATTTCAGATCTTCACTGAGCTCACTCTATTGGTTCTTCTCGGTAACTGAACCCGATTTCCAGTGTTTTTTTATTAGTGTAGGCATCCGATCAATTTTCTTTCCGTGCTTACTATCCATAATGATCTTACGTATTTGCAAATGCACGTCTTGATGTCAAAAAATGAAAATCGAAAAGTTCTGATACATTCACTTTTTCATTGGTTCTTGTGGAGAAAAAGCTTTCTCTACGGTGCACTTTCCATCAACTTTATATTCCTACAACAGATATTTCTCCAGATTCCACAGTGATGCTGAGATATTTGCAAAACCCCTATAGTAGATGGAACTAGGTGAGAGACAGACGAAACGAAGGACCCGCATAGTGCGGTGGTGAACGCGCTAGCTCTCGGAAAGGGTGATAGCGCGTTCGACTGCTGTCGTCAACCATATAGAACCCTGATCAGTGGCTCTTTTTCAGTGGAAGGCGCCTAAAAACTGCTCTGAAGAAGGCAATACTGCCGAAACGTCAGCCATCGGCCAACAACACAAACAAGAACTTCAACAACAACAACGAAAACATGTACCAACCTTGCCTATACTTAGCTTTATAGAAAATGCTGTTTGGAATTATCAAAAAATTGCCCTTAACCACAATGTCTCGCAGTCCCACATTCTTCCGTGGGTTTCTGGGGGGGAATAGCTGGCAACTTTGTTACTCGTTGGTGAAGGTCTATGTTATTTTGAACGTTGGCGTTCGTATTTACCGACACGTTGTTCAGCCTTAAGGGCTTGGAAAGATGGGGTCTCAATCTGTCGGACAGTTCAAAGGTTTCTTCATTGTTTGCACCAACTGTTCTGCGGACATCCTTTATTAGTTGGATGTTCAGCACACAGCGGCCAACTGCTGCGTTATGGTTGTCTAGGTGTTGTCTAGACGTTGTTCATTTCGAACTCTATGCCGAATTTTGAATCTGCGATTGTTTTTCTTGGCGAATTGACGTTAGGGGTGAGGTTGACATAATCACAGAAGTATCTTAAAGGCTTGGGTGGTTTATTAAAATTAACTAAAAGGAGGTTAACGGCTCCTGTTAAATTCCATTCACGTGAGGATATGACGACGATGTCATCATGTAACGATTGTAAACGTGATGCTCTCTCTTTTCGTGGTTTTCCCACTACGAGAATGATTGTGCTGCGGCTTCATTATTTCTGTAGTTTTGCCCATGCATCAAAATATAGTCGTTAGAACAATGCACCAGAAATGTAGCAATTCCCAGTGCAGAATAGGTCATCTATTCTTTGTTCTCGGCACCGAATTGTCACTGGCTCGAATAGAATGCCTGGCTTTATACGAATTTGCCACATCGGACTTCTGACGTTTCCTTCTATCACGTGAAATGAAAATGAGAAGACAAGCATATGGAGATTGTAAGGACAACTACTTAAGCGAACTGAAGGATGTCTAATGATTCTGGTGCTTGTATGTATACCTTCTGTGATGGGTGGAATATGGGTACAGAAAACTAGAGTTAATGCTCAAAGGGGGATTCTAGAATATTCATCAGTTATCACAGGCTGTCTGAAGTCTGAAGGGCGCATGTGGCGCAGTAGTTGGCGGCACCCTGCAACACACACGTGGAATCGATCCCGCGCCCCTGGGCCACCAAGCCTTCCATATCTCCAGGGTCGGTAAATTGATACCAGACTTGTCTTGGAAGATAGCAGAACTGGCTCGATACATAGGTAAGCCACCGGGAGTCATTGTAAAGGCCAGATATGCATTCAATCACCTCTAACGATGCTTAATGAAGTCGAGTGCACGGTGCATCCCTCAAGAATTGATCAACGCCGAGAACTTTATCCTTTACGCTTTATGAATGGCAGGGTAGCAAGGTCGCATGATGAATAACGAAACGCGGTGGACCCGCATGGTATGGTGATGAACGCGTTGGCCGCGGGAAACGGCAATAGCGTGTTCGTTCCTCACCGCAGACATCCGCGGTCCGGAGTTTCGCAAGTATCTCATCATCATTGTGATTGTATCACATGTAATACCCTACCGTGAGAAGCTGTAATAGGCAGTAAATAAAAGAAAAGTTGAGAAGAACGTTTGATTTTGTCGTGATCAGTGGAAAGAGAAACCAGCGTCAACGAAATAAAGAATAAAGTAACCCCTCGGGTTTGCTCAACAAGAATATCGAGAATTGTTTGATCAGTGGCGAAGTGAATAGAAAGTCGGTTGTGGGAATTACTGCAAAGAAGGACTTGCTTGAACCGAAGCAATAAACATGGCCAACGAATTTAATTGCCAAACACTTCCATCTTTAAGAAGGGTTTTGTGGTTCATTTAGGACCAAGCACCTTGTCATTTTGTCAGATGAAACCAAACTGCCACTGTGTTCTTCCTTGCTGTTCCCAAAGGCTTTCGTTTCTAAACGGAATCTATGCAATGCAGCTGTTGCCGCTGCCCTAACCATAACAATTTCGTAACGCTTGGAATATTCGAAAAGAGGCGAGTAACAAGATTTCGTTTGAACGACCACCTGTTCCCTTGAAATTATCCCGGCGATTCCATCGAATTCGCTCTTCGAATACAAGTTATTTCTTAGCTCTTAATTATAAGATATAGCTATTTAACTAAACATCTTGGAGATATGGCCAATTTGCACCGGTCCACATTCGTTGAAAAAGAAAAGGCGCGCCACAGATCAGCGCACGGGAGCCGGCAGAGGTCATCTCCAACCGATCGATACCGCTCGATCGGCGGCATCTCGCGTGTTTCGAACCCATTCTTGCCTTTGGACCACGCAACGATGTCTTTGACCAGGAAGGAGCGAGTCGACATAGCCGTTCTTGCTGGAAAACGACGAAGTGAACGCGAAATAGCTGAAGAATTCAACAAACTGCACCCGGACCGCAAGCCAATTTCTCCGACGACCGTTGGCAGTATTCTTGCTGAATTTGAAGAAATCGGTGCCATTTACAACAAAAGTCGACGGCTACCAGGGAATGCTAGGGATTCCGAACAACAAGATATTGGTGACTTGGTTGATTCGAAAAGTTCCGTAGATGATGTGATGCGGACTCAAGAAGGGTTAGTCGATCCTCAGTTTGGTTTCTTGTTTTTATCCAACAATGGAGGGAACTGTGGTGTACGTGGTGTTGCACGTGGTACTTCTTACATCTAGTGCAACACTTTGAATTTGCTAATGGGAAGTTGATCTACTCATCTGAATAGTTTACAACTAGCTGTGTTTCAATTTGCCGGTATCATTTTGGAGTTCCCCACTCCATTATTGGAACAAATTTCATTCCAGGAACAGCCATGTTCTCTCTGAAATTGATGAATATTTGGAGGAGGAATTGTTGGATGTGCCGGTATGGTTTCTACCAAAATATTCCGTTTTCTTTTTTCCATTCTTACTTACTGGCTACTGCAATTTTCACGACAGGGTATTATTCCAATTCTATCTCGACAAAGCTGAGACATTCGCAAAGCTTGGACCCCGGGCCAGCTTGAACCACGATTTCCCTTTCCGGCGGTTCACGCATTACATCACGATGCCACTGGTAGATTGAAAACTAGCTGAGAGAAATGCGGAGCAAAGGCCTACTTGGCGCATTATGCAATGTGGGAGCTCCCGAAGTGAGAAATCGTGGTTCGATCAAGCCTGAGGTCAGCGTTTTACTAATATCTCTGCGTCGTTATTGCGTTTTTTTCTGTCTTTGGCCCTTGCTGTCTTCAACAATTTCTGCTTAGATCCGCAATGTTTTCCATAATTTTGTTTTCTTAAATAACTTCTCTAATAACTCGGACTTCATTTTGAGAACGACACCTTTCGTTTTTTTTTGAATTAACCATTAATGAAAATGACCTTTGGCTGTTTCTTATTTTCTAAGATGTTTTTTCCTATAAAGTGGTTTTTTTCATAATTCCTTTCACCAAAATGACTCAGGGGAGCAGCCTCTGTTGGGTGGCAGTGGTTTCGATCTTACTCAATCATGTGCATCTTTTGGTACGTTTTGTGTTACAATTTCACCTCATTTTTTTCAAGCAGGACCTAGCAATGTGAAAGTATTTGTGATTAAGCAATGCTTTATATGTGTGAATGGATGAGGAGGTGTGTAGGCACACAGGGTTCAGTTTGTGCTAAATGCACTGTTGCTAGTGCCAGCTTTGAGTATAGACTTCTGTATCTGTTGGTTTTTTCAGCTTTTCCGTTATCACCTCTATTCACTGTTGTCAAGGAAGAACCAGAAGAAGCACCATTCTTCAAGGTGCTCTACGCCACAGATTTGCTGGAAACAGTTGATGTTGACGATGAGGAAGACCAGCCAATTGCAAGCTTCGTAACCTCAAACGAGCGTAATTGTTGGTTCAGCTATGTTTCCATCGGTTTTCTATGCTGCTGCCGTATTTGGCCAGTGTGAAGAATATTTTTTTACTTATCTGGTGGGGAAGACATGGCGCAGTAGAGCGTTAGGCTTCGAAGAAGCGCGTCTATACTTTTCGTTTGCAGTGTTAAGAGAATATTTTGAGAAGAATTTCCTTTGTGTGCCGTTTAGCTGGACTCCTCCAAGTAGCCTTGCCACGTATTCCAAACCGGGTACAGCATGTTTGTTTATTCACCACAGGTGTTCATTTTATCATTTTTTGTAAAGCATTGTTACAGACATTCCTGCAAATCAAGCAGAACAGAGCAAAGAAGACTACGCGACTTGTCAACTTTGTGGTAAAATGATCATGATATCGAGGTTGGTTGTTCAGCTCAGTTGAAGAACTTCTGGGAAATCTATTTCACGCATCGGCATAGAAGTCGTTTCTTTTCTGTTTAGATTCACCAATCTCTCAAATCACGCACGTAGACACGCAGAAGCAAAGAAGTACAAATGTGCACACTGCACCTTTCAGCATTATGAACCTTTTAAGGTCAGTGGTCCTCTCAATGTAAAGTCTGTAAATTTTACTGTCGAGACCACGAGCACTTTTTGCAGCCAGTTTAAGCGCATATTATAGACTGGCACATAAGAAATCCTTGAAAACAGCCACCATGCTACTTTCTTTCTCTTTCTTAGCACTCTCGGTAGAAATCCAGACTATTTCCTCAATTTGGACTTTATATTCTCCGTATTCGTGTTGAGCAAACGCGAGGTGTTACTTTTATTCTTTATTCACAAACAAGCTGACGTTTCGGCGGATTTCGCCTTCCTCAGAGCCTGGAAAAGTCAACTTGACAGCAATCTATTCGGCCAAACACCTCTATAACCTAACAGAGAAAACGCTAAACCAAGATTTCAATCACATTGAACACATCTTTGCACACGCACCGCTTTCTATGAGGCTTCCACTGAGTGTAGCGTGAAGACCAAACGCACGGAATTCGTATGGAAGCGTAATGTGCCCCTCCCATCAGAATAACAGATTTATATACTGCCCATTATCACTCGTGATAATGAGGCACTCCTCCCTGCGGTTCATTTTCGAATTCTTGTATTTAATCCACAATGCCCCTAGGGTTTTGCGCGCTCGTGTTCTCGATTCTTGCGCGAGGATCGTAACCCTTACTTCAAAATCTTCTCCGTTATGTTTCTGCGTTCTATGCGTGCCTAGTGGAGTATTTGATTTACGTTTGCCGACTAGGTCTTCTTTTATACGTACGCAGAGTAGTCTACCCTTTTCGCCAACGTATTCGTCCTCGCACGCTTTACAAGAGATGTGATAAACTATACCCGAACTCATGCAGTCACCGTCTCTACCATTGGGGCAAATTGTGCAATTCTGCGTCGCACATAGATGGTCGTATAGGCGGTTACGAACTAGCTGGCGTCTTAGATTACTCGGTGGTATTTCGATTATCGTTACCGAATTCTCTAGACTGGCCCTTCTTAAACAGCGTTTAATAACTGCACTTACCTCATTTGAAACGAAGGGCAGTATAAACGGGACCTTGTTGTCGCTAGAGTTATCGTTGGGGTACCTGTGGTTCCCTCTATACCTATCTCGAGCTAGTTTCGTAGCTATTAAAAATGGCTATTTGCCGCGCCAAGTTTAGGGACTCCTCTCTCTGCTGTCTTCCTGTGCACACGCTGGTAGCTGTTCGATACATGTTTCTTACAAGCGCCCTTTTAGTCTAAGAGGGGTGAGAGGAGAGGTAATGAACCAAGATGTTTTTACTATTTGGCTTTCTGTACCACTTCGTAATCTAGGCATTTTCTGACAGCTGAATTTGGACGTTCAGGAATGGAAACTAATTCTTTTTCGGTTTCTTTCGGGTGAACTTGATATACCCTGATTGTGCAATTAAGAACTCAAAACATTTGTCCATTTCTTCTTGTGTTGAGTAAAGGATAAAACAGTTATCTGTATATCTACAGTAGAGTAGCGGCCCAAGATCAGTCACCGCTGCTTCCACCTTAGACATAAACGCAATGGCAAGATTTGGTGCCAGTCGTTGTCCCATTGCCAACGCATAGTTCTTTCCGGACCATCTGAAGATTGAGCAGCTCAAGCATTCTTTTAAGAGTGCCATAAGTGCTCTATCTTGAAGTCATACATGTTCATTTGTCCTTCGTGTTGTGTAAGGAGTTCGAATATGGCTTGCATTGCGGACCCATTCGACACGTTTGTATAAAGGGCGGTAACGTCGAAGAACTCCATCACGTACGTGCTGCTGGGCTGAGCAGTATGTAGATGATCCAGAAACATCTGGGTATTCGTAAGATGGGCTGGAATGTGTTTCAACAACTGGTTAAATATTAGGGTTAAAAAACCATGTTATCCTATCCGTTGACCCGTCTACGCAGCTAATGATAGGTCTAACCGTAAATAGTCATGGATTTTCTTGTATTAAACAGAAGCACGTCTTATTTACCTACCTACTCGAATACTTGCGCGGCCCGTCCTCACTGGTTGTGCGGACCCCGGCATATTCTCCATTTTTCGGAGTTTTGCTTGTTTAACCATTGTGTTTCTCTGGAGCCCTGAGATCAGCCTGATCAAAGTCTGCCCCAGGTCGTGACAACTATAAGCAATCGCCACTCTTGTGGATCAGAGGAATATTTACCACCATGCGACTAGTTTGATACCAGGACAGTCGTGGATCCTGGTATTGGCATTGGTTTGCTCTTAGCTGGGCTTCTTGATGGAAACGCCGAACTCCTCAGTATGGGAGACCCGGTTGGTCGGGAGATGAATCCCCACCCTGTGCATCGCAGTCCGACACGAAGGAGCACGTCCCAACCACTATGAGGCGGTAAACCGTTGTGAGATACACCTTATTTAGAATTTCGTAAGTTCAATCAAAAGTGATTATTGACTTGGCAACGTAGAGACTGCTAGAATCTGCTTATTTCTACTTGCAAGGCATAAGTTTTATTCTTCCCGCAGCACAGAATGATTTAGTACTGACTGGAAGCGACGAAGTTCCCGAAGTCGCTCGCAACAACAGCTTGATTTTCGAGGATTCTTTCTTGGAAATAGATTTCGAAGTGCTTGAAAAAGTGATAGCTGGCTGGCAAGAAGTCTGATAAGTACACATCATAACGAACAGTTTTCTATTTCAGTCGCTACCTAAACGGTTTTCTGGCTCGATGTTTTCATGATAAGTTTACCTTTAAACTCATGAGAAGCAATACATTTTTCTTAGCTTGGGTGTATCATTTAAACTACTAGCTTCATTGTTAACTAGTTTTGGGAAAAGGAGTGCAAAGCAAATTGTTGGGCAAGAAATATTCTTTAAAATGGTGAACATAATGTAATCGATTCGTGTTTGTTGCAAAGTACCTTTCTAAAGTTTGCTGTAAGGATGAGTGCATAATTATTTATCACGCGGCCCAATATAGAGCTTGATATGCACCAATTCTATTCGTTTCCTTTCATCCTATCATCTTCCTCGGAAATGGTTTATTTCAAACGCGCTCACGTCTGCGAGTATTGTTCCCGCTTCAAGAATTCTTCTCATCTATAATAAACATGGACGGAAGACACTGTTGGTTTTCTTTCTGGATTTTTGATGTTTATTTCACCGCTTCCTTTATTCACTTGCTGCCAACTCTTCTCTTTACTTTAACGAAATATCTGTGTATCGCTCTAGGCATTAATCTACCTGATTATGAAGATGTTCTAGTTGTGCAATGTCGGAACTTTGAAATACGACTTTAGCACACACTTAATAAAGGATAAAAGGATGAAGCTCTTGGCTTTCATCAATCCCTGGGAGATGCGCCATGCATACCATATCATTAAGCATAGTTTGGATATGATTGAATGCGTATCTGGCCTTGACTCGCGGTGCCTTACCGATGTATCGAGCCAGTGCTGCTATTCTCCAAAACAAGTCTAGTACCAATTTGCCCACACCGAAAGGATGGAAGGCTTGGTAGGCCATGGGACTAGGATCGATTCCACGTGTGTGTTGCAGGGCGCCCAACCATTTCGCCACGCGCGCCCACTTTCGCACTTAATACTCAGAAGATTCCTAAGTGCTCTACTGCAAAATAAATCTTAACTTAGTAGATGTTCTACGGAGGAGATATTGAGCCAAACATCTGAGCGTGGTATAGTTGGTTGTTTCGCAGAGACCCGTTAAAGGCACATACTGCTCTATATATTCTGTAAAGTTCATCATTAAAATTTTCTAAATGTGGGATGATATAGTTTTACATAAGGTGTTGTTTCAATAATATGAACGTTAGTGTGTCGACGTATTAACAAGTATTACAGCAATTACTTCTTTCCCTACCCTTTTCCCACCACTTTTAAATCATTCGTTCAAGATTTGTTGTTGACCCTTGACCCAGCTTATTGTAACTATCGTTTAAGTTACTAAACCGACTTCCACTTAACCTCGGCGTAAATAGTCGATATATCACTTTGAATTGTTACGCTTCTATGAGGTTGTAATACATATTTTATTCTACTGACGTTTCGACGTCTTCATCCTACTAAGAGCAGATGATTTGAGGCGGTGTCCACAGTCGGTCGCCTTCTAGCTGATGCGTCTTTGTCGTTGTATCGAGTCGAATACTCTTTCAGTAAAGCACCTCTCAAATGAGGCAACTTCACCCTGCAGAGCTCATTTACACAAGACTGTTGTTGAGTGATAGTCTACTGGTAATGATTTCTTTCCATGTCTGCTGTCCATCTTGTAGCAGCATAGTAATATGACGAGCTCATGATAGCCGACGAATTTAAAGAGATATCTTTGAACCGATTGACTCCGCCTTCGTTACGAGCAGAAATTATGTGCGAAAAACTGTTTTATTACAAAGGCTATGTCAGAACGCAAGTATACGGCTTCGCTTATGCATCTTGTTGACGGCTCTTGGACGTTATCAATTTCTCGCGCTCTATTGGATCGTCTTCACTATGGGGGATGGTAGACGTGTGATCAAAATCAATTCCTAAATGAAAAGAATGTATTTCTAATGCGTAATCTATCAGTTAGAGTTCTTACCATTGAAACAAAATTAGTAGCAATAGTTGGTGAAACTGTGATGTCTTGCATTTATTTATTAATGGCTTTATTACCATAAAAGTGCTTTTAGATTCACAGGCATATGGTTATTGCTCATGGAGACAAGATTTCTGATGTAGTTGACAACGTTTCATCGGAAACCAAAGAAATATGGAATTGTCTGATGCAGAAATGTTTCCCTTCTCACGCTATAAGATCACGAAGCAAGGTATCTTCCATTTTTAAAATACTTTTTGGCGGTTTTTTAAACAGCGTTTATCTTTCGTGTTTATTTTCACCATGCGTTGTTTTCTCCCAAAGGTTTACCACCTCATCGTGGCTGCGACGTGTTCCTGGGTGTCGGGTTGCGATGTACATCGGGGGTACTTATCCCCCAGCAAGGCCTCCCAAGCTGAGAAGGAGAAGGTTTCCGTGAAGAAGCCCAGTTAGGAGTGATCAATACCAGGTTCCACTACCGTCCTGGTGTCAAACTAGTCGCATGGTGGCAAATCTTCCTCTGATCCACAAGGACGGCTATTGTTGGTGGTGGCGGCGAACTGGGTTATGCTTTGGCCAGTCTGACCTCGGGACTCCAGACAGCCACAACGGTTAGACCAGAAAACTCCGGTAAATGGAGAATATGCTGAGGCCCGCACAACCAGTGAGGGCGAGCCCACCAAATGTCCAAGTATCCTTCGAGTGTAGGGTTTTGAAATGAAAGATATGCGATAAATGGTCTGATAGTACCGAATTTGTTTTGCAATTGTGGCTAGAATTGGTCTGCCGTGCATCTATGCGTAACATTTTATTTGAGTTTTTGTGATATGATATTACAATCCAAGATAAGAATTCGAGGTTGCCAAGAGAAAGTCTCGCCGAACGTAAACATATGTCAGGATTCGCCACTGTCTTAGTAGAAACGCAGTCGCTGGGTTGCTAGTCACCCTCTGACCTATATGAAAGTGCGACTCCCAGTTTTGTTCACCAGAGAGCGCCATGTTATAATTATCTAGGGAATTCAATGAAGAAACGGCTTGTAAAGTTTTAGCCTAATGAATGTCGTGTTGAGATTCGTGCAGTTTAATGTTTAAGTAGCCAAATATGCAGATGTAGCTTTGAGAGGAAAGTGTTGGAAGGTGAATTAGAGCTTGTGTTTATAAATTGGTTGTGGAGGAAAACGATGAAAAGTCTAATCGTTTGTCCTGTATGTGGCTTGCTTGACAATGATCAGATTCTTAACCCTTTTATTTACTGCCTTTTTCTTTTTAATGGCAAGGTACGTTGCGAAATATAACTCGTATATAATGCTGAGATATTTGCGAAACTCCGGACCGCAGATGTATGCGGTATGGAACGAATGCGCGCTATTGTCCTTACCGGGGAGTAGCGCACTTCACCACCACACCATCCGGGTCCTTCGTTTTGGCAAAAGGTCAATAGAACTAGCTGAGAGACAGGAAAAACGAAGGACCCGGATGGTGTGGTGGTGAAGAGCGCTACTCCCCGGTAAGGACAATAGCGCGCGTTCGTTCCCCACCGCATACATCTACGGTCCGGAGTTTTGCAAATATCTCAGCATTATATACGAATGACCAGATTCTTTACCTAGACAACCAGCTCTCATGGCACGGATTTTTATGACAAATACGTACAAGAACATGAATAATACAGGCATATTAACTGCACCAAACTCACTAGGACATTTTTGGCACAGTTTTAGTAGCATTAATTGATGTACATGGCGTCTTTACCTTATATTCAGGTTCGTTCTCACACATCCAAATGTCATACAGAAACAGATCCTACTTCTAGCATCGTAACTGAACGCCTTACACCGTATTCTCATGAAGAATTATCGTCGTTATCTTCAGGTTATTTAGATGATATGTGATGTATGTTACATCATCAGGCTTATTAATTTGTTCCAGAACAAGGTACTTCGGCTGATGTTAAGTCAGAAAGTTGGGTATCAGCGAATCAGGTACAATCGTCATTAAAATCAGCCTGCAATTCTGATAAAGATACGTCATCCGAACGAGTTTCAGAGGTCACAGCAGATGAAGAGGAGAAAAGTGATCCAGATTTAGTGCTATGTCGTGTAAGTTGATTAGCTTTTTCCAAAAAGGCTACACCAGCTGGTGCCCCCAAAAAGATCCGTTCGCGAATCCTTAATATTTACGGGGATCACCCTTTCCAGGTGCTAACGTGTTTACTACCATACCATGCGGGTCCTTCATTTCGCCTGTCTCTCAGTTAGTTCTATCGATCAGTTCCATCAGCAATCACCCGTCAGCGGAATTGATCTGGGAAGCTCAAATCGGCAATGAACCCAGTTAAGCTGAGGCTTTAGTTATAATTACAATCTTAACCGTTTTATCTCGCTGACGGGTGATTGCTGATGGCTAAAATCGACTTCGGGCACACTTCGGATTAACTTTTTCTGTGCACTACACGCATAACCTATAACCCGATAGAGTTTATTTCACTTTGTAGGAAACAATTTGGAGGTTATCACATGTAACTTTTGTTGCCCTCCTGTGATCTCTCGTCGATTCCGTTTGTCCCTATCGCGTCCAAGATCAAGCTCAATAGGTTTTCTTCCCTGTAGTGACTTACTGATCAGCAAACATTTCTTCTAACATTTCAATGAAGAATTCTGACTGTCCGGTTGTTAGTCTGCTATTGTACGCTTGACAGGTCTCTGGAATCTAGTCGCTAGCAGCTTCAATCCATTGGTTGTCGATTGGACGTGATGCGTGTTCCATAACAGAATTTCAAAATTTTGAAGCGCAAAACGGTGCCTCTGATTTGTGATCGTTGACTTAGGTGGAACATTAAATTCCTCCTTTCAATTACGTGGTAGGAAATGATTTTTCATACTCCTTTCGTAGCAACCAGATATCTGACGTATACGTAAAGGTAAGAAGAATCGTCGGGTCGAAAGGTGGGTACGAAGACCTGTGCTTTTTGTTCTCTTCACAATGTCCTCGATGCTCTTGTGCGTTCTCCAAGCTGTTCGCTTTCTCCTGCTCAAGTCTGGAGAATTGTGTTGAAATTGTGTTGAATTCGAGACCCAGACATACGTCACTTTAAGAGGTGTTCGTTCGCCAAGCGATGAACACTAAAAATATGAATTAGCTGAGAAACAGGCCAAACGAGGAATCTGAATGGTTTAGTCCCCTGAAAGGATAACAGCGCATTCGTTCCTCACCACAAACACCTGCGGTCTGGAGTTTTACTAATATCTCAGCGTCATTTTGGTTGTATCACACATAATAACTTGTGGTGAAAAATTGTAACAGGCAGAAAAAAAAGTTGACCGCGATTTGTACTACTGCTTCAGCTTAATTAGATTCATTGCCGATTTGGGCTTCCCAGATCAGTCCCGGTGACGGGTAATTGTTGATTGCAGTGATCGATAAAACTAACTGAGAGATAGGCGAAACAAAGGACCCGCATAGTGTGGTGATGAACGTGTTACACCCCAGAAGGATAATAGCGCGTTCGTTTCCCACCACAGGCACCTGTGGTCTGGAGTTTTACAAATATCTCAGCGTCATTGTGGTTGTACCACGCATAAGAACCTGCTGTGGAAAACTGTAATAGGCAGAAAATAAAAAAAGCTAAAAATATGTTTATAATGAGATCCTAGGCATTCTAAGTTTTAGGACTTATATTTTCGAAATGTTGAGCTCACACGAGGTTGATAATAATATTTATTTGAGCTAGTGTTTCGACGTCTTCTTCTTTATCACGGTCAATAATCCAAGTCGATGTCTTCGTAATCGTACCGAGGCGAATCTTCTCGTCAGTGGATCATCGCACCAATGAGGCGTTCTCACCCGGCGATGTTCCTTTATACATGGCGGTTGCTCAAAAAACCTTTCCGGCATCTTTAAAAGAATGAAGCAGTGAATAGATAACTTGACGTTAATGGAAAAGCGGTGACACAACCGAGATAACCCTTAAGTTTATGAATTTGGCCTGTTAGATTCATTTTGAATTTTTCTACAAGAAAATAATCTAAGTGGATCCACTTGTAGTCGCTTATGGGTTGAAATGACTTGTTCAAGGTGTTCAATACGGTTTAATGCCATGTCCTTCTAATTGACTATCACGATGAATGTATGCAGCATTTCCACTGATCTGAAACAAAGAAAAATTACCAAATAGACCATTCCGGAAGGATTTCTCAACGGTACGGTACGATGACAACGGATTTATTGTCAAGCTAGGAAGAAATGTCACAAACCTGACTTACCGTGGAACTCTCACCACAGTATAAAATCTGCTTCTTCAAGATACTGTCTTTTCGTCGATTCATTAAATATACAGCGAATATTGCCAATGATGCAAGTAGGGCAGTAGCAAATACTGTGGTCAACAAGGCTATTGTCCAACTAATCGAACTGCTGCTTCTGAAATCACTCGTTTGATTTCAACCCCTCTTTGAGATTACAAGGAGTAATTCTCCTCGTCGATATGCCAACTAGTCACAAAAGTTGACGTTTGGCGAATCTTGATTTCCACAGAGTCTGCAAAGTTCAAGCTGAGTTCAACGTGGCCAGCTAATTCAGCTCATGACACCCTTAAAAGAATGCCCAAACTGCTCAATCTTTTTATGATCCGGAAAGTATTTCGCATAAATGCGATTATTGCCACTGGGACAGCGACTGGCACCAAGCCTTGCTTTGTCCTTATGTCTCCACCACCTGGGAACACCTCGCGTCTAGTCTAATTCGTTGGCTATCAGGATCTCTCATATGAGGAAGAACCGTCGACAGGAAGAGAGTAAACGGAAGAATCTCTTTAAGTGGCGTAGGAAATGACCATTTTCAATGACTACGAAACTTTGACTCTTCGGAAAACATGTAGAGGAGAACCAAAGCCCCAAACGATAACTCTAGCCATAAGAAGGTTCCGTTTGTCTTGCCCTTCGTTTCAAACGAATTAAGCACAGCTATGAAACGTTGCTCAAGAGATGACCTGGAGAATTCAGCAGCAGTAATTGAAACACCACCGAGCTCTCTAAGACATCAGCTAGTTCGTAACCGCCTGTCTGAAGTCACAAGTGCATAATATTTCATAACGGTCTTCCCAACGGTTTGCGCCTCATCGTGGTTGGGAGGTGTTCCAGGGTGTCAGACTGCGATGTACAACGGAGAATTTCCATCAGGAAGCCGAGCTAAGAGTAAACCGATACCAGGATCCACTACCGTCCTGGTATTAAAGTCGCATAGCGGCAAATCTCCCTCTGATCCACAAGGTCTGCGATTGCCTGTCGTGTTGACGACCAGTGGCAGACTATGGCCATGCTGTCCTCGGAATTCCAAGAAACCACAATGCCTCAATCAGCAAATCTCCGAAAAGCGGCGATTATGCTGGGGCCCTCACAACTAGTGAGGACGGGCCGTTCAAGTATCAAGTATCATGTCTTAACGGTAGATATCGTAATTGCATGAGTTCAGGCACGGGGGGCATGTAATCTCCTCTAGAGTGTATTTGAAGGAATACACTGGGCAAATGGATACATCGCTATGCTTCCGTATAACGATCACCTAGGCGGTATACTTCAAGTTAAACCAAATAATGCACAAGGCTCCCATAGGACACAGGGACATAATATAGGAGAATTTGAAGTAGAAGTTGCCATCCTCACACAAAAGTCGAAAACACAGCTCGTAAGACTCTCGAATCATTTTGGATAAATTCCAAAAGTCCAAATACGAAATGTACGGAATAATGCCTCGTTATCACACGCGATCTCACTCAATTAACCGACTGACATGGGAAACGTCCACTGTAAAATATACACACATATTTGGCGAAACGTCGATAATTATTTCTAAATAATTCTTATATCTCCCAAGCTGGGTATAGACGTATATACGACATGACAGTTTTATTTACGCTGGTCGTGGAGTTGAATCCAGTAAAGCAGCCTCGGATTCTTCCGGGTTTTTCAGCAGGAAGCCTAATTAAGAGTAAACCAATACCAGGATATACCACCGTCATGGAACCGAAGTTGCATGGTGGCAAATTTGCCACTGATGAACAAGGACCTTAACCGCCTGTGGTGGTGACGACCCGCTGCAGAGCCTAGCCAGGCTGACCTTAGCATGCCAGGGACCACAATGGCTCAAACGGCAAGTCTTTAAAGAGAAGAAAATGGAGATCCGCACAGCTTGTAAAGACGGACAATCAAAGTATCCAAAATCTCACCATATCACGTAGTATCTAAGACTGATATTTAAATGTAAGAGTGACGCATAACCCATCCTTGAACCTCCGAGTGGGTGATCTCCGCGTGGAATACTGAGTGCAAGACTCATAAAACCGATCAGTGTGTAAAGAATCTGTTATGTTCCCAATGGAACCTAGATTTTGTCGTTATTTGCTGGTGTTATGGAAGCATTTGTCTGACTTGATTTCCTACAACCTGGAATTTCCTTGTACTGAGGATGTCGAAATCCTCCGAAACGTCAGCTTTTGTAAATAAATCCTATAATGATCAACTTGTGCCTGCTTATAGAAAAACAACGAATTATACATCAATGCAGAGGTTAAAAGAAAGTGGGTCTTGGGGACAGCTGCTCATTAACTTACACGGCTAGATCAGCAACTGTGCAACAACCGCGATCACAGCATCCCATCTGACACACATATGGAATCGGAAAATCAGTTGATACCGAGCCACTTCGATAGTAGCAAATTTTCTGGCCTGCTTCTGAAATTATCCTAAACAAATGCGAGAATGTTCGGTAAAACGTTGGCATCACCCATATTTGCAAAGCTCTCCCAAGCTTGATGGAAGGCGTGCAATAGAGAATGGAAATTACACTGCCCTAGACCCTTTTGATGAAAGTGACCTATTCAAGACAGAAATTGTCTCACATTTCTTGGTATTATGTAATTTTATTTTTTATTTTATTTTATTTGACCTGCATTCACATCTACTGTGCGGATCCCACCACTTCTCACATTCAGTTCGTTTCCTCGCATCCATTATTCACGGAGATCTTCCTACTTTACTTGTGACTTCGGTTGCTGCTTGAGGGTTTTTATTTCGTCTTGAACGTCGTAGAATGCTGGTTAAGCAACTCCCTTTGGTGTACTGAGATAGCCAGGCTAGAGCGTTCCTAATTGGATTGCAGACAATGATTTTTCCCAGACAAGTCTGGTACCAATTTCCGAACCCCAGAGGGATGAGAGGCCGGGTTGGCCTGGAGTGGAATCAAACTAGCACCATGCTCATGATGATGGACATCACTACCACTGTGCTATCCAGCGCCATTGATATTAAGTAAACTTTTTGAACTCATGTTTCGAAGAACAACGCAATGACCATACTCCTCGTCCTTCAATTGTGCAATGATTTTCAGCAGATAACTGAAAGCATGAATTTATTTCACTACACACCTTTTCCTGATGATTATTTGGATGCAAGGAGCTTTTCCATGGATTCACCGCATTCAGCCGGTAGTTTCTTCAACTCAGATTGCGCAGGCGTGTGCTGTCATTACCTATTGCCAATGCTTAATAAGTTATGAGAAACCGTTTTTCGAGCTACTTCTTTTATCTGTCGAATGGCAAGGTCACTGTTGTACCTGATGATTGAAGTTCGATGCTGAGCTATGCGTACACACTGCACGCACACCATCAATGTGTATACTGGCATCCATGGAACTACTACAAAATCTTCTCAACTTTTTTCCTTACAATTTTTTACCGATGTGTAAGCGCTGAGCTCAGAAATATTTATATTCAAATCTATCTGCTATTTTCACTGCATATAATCAAAAAAAAATGTGCTGATCCTTAACCACTTGTCTCCTCCATCATACTTTCCACTGTTGGCCGAATGACTCTCAGCTAACGGACCCCTAGATCTACACCTTTACTACTTTCGATCCATGTCGGCCACGCATGTGGGCTTTTCCAATCATCACACAGCTTTGGAGCTTAACGAAGACAGAAATCAGTAAATCCGATCATCTTTTCACCAATTGTCAGCTTCCATAACTCATCTTTCTTCACATCTACTGTGCTCTCTTGGAAGTATATCCCAAACGTCAGCCTTGGATAATTAACGAAAATGCAGTGGTTATCAACTTATAACCATCATTTGATTGATCTTTTCAGATGCAGACCACGAGAGGTTTTTCACTGTCTTCTTATTTGAAGAATCCACTGAAGATGAAGTTGAATATTCAAGTCTATACAATTCAATTATTAAACAGTTATTGATAGTTCTTCCTTTTACAATAACTCTTATAATCGTAGAAATAATATGGAATTAGTGAATATAAAAAATACATTAAAAAAAGAGAGGTTCATTGAACCTAGATAACCTTGCTAAAGACTCGCACTAAAGCATTTGGATTGCTGGCAAACATTTTCCATTACACACAAGAGAAAGGGATGTGTAGAAAAACACATACAAAACATGTAAAGATATGTAACCAAGCAGAGGACTTTTATGACATAAGAAAACGCAGAAATGAGCGTGAAATGTGTGGGAAAACTGAATTCTACGGAAAAAGGCAAGATGGGGCGGTAACTATGTGAAGAAGACTGCATGCACTGGGCCCTATGCATTGACATCAATACGCCCCAACCCTAGAATTCCTAGGAAAAAATGTTCTCTACCATGACGTCGTGTTCTCGAGCTTAACTATATACAGAGGTTTTTGGAATTTTGTGGCGGACTGATTCTATGTTATGCCTACCAGATATGTCTTGTCGTATCAGACTTCCTAGGACTCCGCTATTGATAAGCTGTGACGGATCTGGCGTGCTGAAAAACTGTAAGTTTTCAAAGTGTAATAAAACGTCCACACCGAATTTTTTTGATTCGTTACCATTTATATCGATTATCAAATAAGTTGAAGGCAGGACTAATCGAAGAATCTGTCGTTGTGGATTGGGAACAAAGCGAGAAGCTCGCAATATCAGCAAAACATTTGGCCATTACATTACCAGCGAGCAAGAGATTCGAAAAACTGGTAAGGCAGTTGAACAAATCGACATAGAAGGCCTCTTTGCTGGTTACGGTACTGCAGGAAGGATGGATAATGGTAGTACAAATTTGTGTTCGACTTCACTGCAATAACTACTGAATAAATCAATAAATTAACAACTACTATGTTGTCCACATTATCCAAAATATCAGGGTGTTAAATTATTGTTTTGCTTATCAAAAAAAGCTGATAATACTAGTTCTGGTGGAAGTGCATGCAATTTAAACAGTAAACATGAAACTGGTACTTCATGCAACCATTCTCAAGACCGACTTTCTCTTAACCTCGGCATTGTTTGATAATTTACTGTTTTTCTTCGATAGGCAAACAGGAGGTCGATATTATAGGATTTATCAGCATACAATAGCTGACGTTTAGGCGGTTTCGCCTTCATCACAGCCGTTTAATTCTTGGCAGATATTCTTGTTAATTGGTGGAGAGCAGCCGCACAGAGTAACACATGGGTGAGGAATGTGCCTGGGTCAGGTCATTGAATGAGCCTCGTGTTTGCTTATCGAAGAAAAATAGTAAAGATGAAATTTTATTACAAAAGTACAAGCAAATCACAACAGCGACTTTTCCTAGTTACCTGCGCCTGCACATTTCGTAGGATATATGGTGTCTTTTTCTAATAATTATTCAGGATAAAGGATAAAAGGATAAAGCTCTCGGCGTTTATCAATCCCTGAGGGATGTGCCGTGCATTCGACTTCATTAAGCATCGTGTGGAGGTGATTGAATTCATATCTGGCCTTTACAATGACTCGCGGTGGCCTACCGTTAAATCGAGCCAGTGCTGCTATCCTCCCAGACAAGTCTGGTACCAATTTGCCGAACCAGGAGAGACGGAAGGCTTGGTGGGCCATCGACGCGGGAATCGATTCCACGTGTGTGTTGCAGGAGAACTCCGGCCACTGCGCCACAGGCGCCCTTTTTAATTACTAATGATAACGACTCTAATCAAGGTATTATTGTTACTCGAGTGAATTACGCTACGTGGCTGCTGAAGTTCGTTAGGAGTTCTTTCTTGTAAAGGGATTCTAGGAAATCATGTTATTCATGTTGAGATCGTATTGTTGGTGAGAACTACATAGCCGGAGAAATTTACGCTTTTATACTAACGTTGTGGTTGTTGATGCAAGATATTTCGACTGATGTTCGCTTATAGGAAGATTCTCCCACCTCGACATGATAATGAGAACAATTCTGAAAAAGAAAAGAATTACCTCATGAGTTATTTAAGAATGTTAACGATCAGGTTAGGATGACATCAGCTTATGACATCGCTTTCGTTACCAGTTCTTTCGAACCGACACACACCTCTACACTCGTACCACATGCGTCCACTCTTCAAGAGCTCAAATGGAGTGCAGACATCGTAAAGAAGAAACCAAAAAAGATGAAATCGCTTTTTTTCGAATTTCCAGTTCGATGGAACACGATTTAAGGTTGAAAAATAAAAAATGAGAAGTAAATCATTTCATCTGAACACTTAGAATTTAACATGAGAACCAGATAACTTGTTGTAAAGGTATCCAATCTTCTCATGAACAATCGTAAACGTTGTTAGGTACACCATGAAGAGAAAGGTGTGAGAAATAACTTTATAACAAATCGTGAACTAACAGCTCATCTTAAATTTTGAAGACGATACTCACTGCGACTGAGAATTTCCCAGTGGCTTTTGCCACCATGCGACTAATTTTCGTTAGCAAAGGTGGTAAACGCAGAGGCATAGGTGTTGAGCGCTAAGAAAAATATCCCAGAAAATTGATAATCCATAAAGAGCTCAAAATTTTCCATTAAAACAACTTCACATAACACTTGCCATTTAGCCATTTCTGATTTCATTTGATTTCCAGATGAAAATCTGATCGCTTCTTGTTTCCTCCGGGTGCTTTTCGTTGCTGAGTAGAGAACGTACTAATGCAAACTCTTGCATTCAACATAATGCACAATCAGTGGTACAATAGAAAAAGCATTGAATTGAGTACCCAGTGATGTTAAGGTGAGAAAAGGGAAAATTGCTACAGAAAAGCATACTACATGCCGCAATAAATTTGAGGAAATTGAACTAAGGTAACAAAGGATAAAGGATGAAACCATAATGATGATGAGATATGAGCAAAACTCGGACTTACAGGTGCGCTTTAAACCCTCGATTACCCTTTCCGAGGGCTCACGTGTTACCCGCTGCACTAACCAAAGTCTTTGCTTTGCCTTAATCTAAGCCAGTTTCTTCTTCACCCTGATGGATACGTCGACAATCATCCGTCAACGGGAATGATCTGAGAAGCACAAATTAGGAATGAATCCAGGTAAGCCGAAACTGCAGCGGAAATTACAATGTTTGAACATCTATTTATTGCCAATTCTATTTTTATGGCAGGGTACTTTTGTGAAACACAACTATAGTGATGCTGACAATAGCAAAGCTGGTTGGAGCAGTGAGTAACACGTGAACCGCTGGAAAGGATAATCGTGTTTTCGAAGAATACCCGAGGCTGCAATTTTTGCTCATATCTCAGTATCATTTTGGTTGTATTTCCCGACTATATGGGCAATTTACCACGATTCCTGCTAGAAAAATGAAAATTACAGGAGTGGAACGTTTCCGCGTTATTTTACCCAGTGAGAACAAATCTTCTACCATGGGTACAGTAAAGGTCTATTTGTGACAAAAAAGCTGTTTGAAACTAGTCGGAAATAAATGTCATAAAAACGAACCCATTTTCCTAACACTAAGCCTGAACTTG